GTACCGTATAGCTGGAAATATTTGCAGGGAATTAAATTTTGTGAGTTTGCGATTCCATTTAAAGAGCAAAATTTAAATCGGCAAAATAATGAAATTCATGCATGACCACAGTAGATAATGCTACAATAACTGTCAAAACCGCAAATATTTAATCCGCAAACCGGGTTATTTTTAAGGATTCGCAAAATTTTCTCCGCAAAATTAACCAGCTGTACGGTAGGTGACTGGCACCAAAAAATGACTAAAAAATTATCCCCAATTTTTATTACATTTTCTGATACATATTGATGTCCTTATGCTGTGTAGCAAGTTTGAGCTGATTCCAATTTCATTTTTTCAAGTTACGGCCATTTTAAGAAAATGCCCAAAATCTGAAAAAATCTCTGTACTATAGCCCATGGTTTTTTTCTGAAAAATGGCTAAAAAATGATACTCAATTTTTATTACATTTTCTGATACATATTGATGTACTTATGCTGTGTAAAAGGTTTGAGTCGATTCCAACTTCAATTTTTCAAGTTATGGCCATTTTAAGAAAACACCAAAATTTTGAAAAATACCCAAGGCTATAGCCCATGGTTTTTTTCCAAAAAATGACTTTAAAATGACCCCCAATTTTTATTACATTTTCTGATGCATATTGATATCCTTTTGCTGTGTAGAAAGTTTGATCTGTTTGCGACTTCAATTTTTCAAGTTACGGCCATTTTAAGAAAACTTTAAAATTTTGAAAATTACCCTGTACTGTAGCCCATGGTTTTTCCGAAAAATGACTAAAAAATGACCTCCAATTTTTATTACATTTTTTGATACATATTGATGTCCTTTTGCTGTGTAGAAAGTTTGAAGCGATTTCAATAAGAAATATTCGAGTTATGAGCATTTTTAAAAACAAGCCAAAAATTGGTTCCGTAATCACACCCAATTTTTATTACATTTTAAAAACTTGCTTAGTAGTGTATTAGTCTAAAACACAACTAAGTACATGTAAGTTGTGTTTTAATGTTAAAGACAACATTAGTTTTAGTCCTCACTAAATCAATTAATGTTTAACATAATGTCACCTCCTCCACACTATAATGAGACACACATTAACTGATCAATCATTAGCTGATACTAATGGACTAATGTTCATATACTGTATATTACATACAGTCACTAGTCAATAGTGTCTGCTGGAGTAGAGGAGGAGGTGTCTGTTATAAGGAGTGTATCTGTTAATAGTATCACATTGTACTAATAATAGTGATAATAGTATTTAATAATAATTGTTTTTAATAGTTGTTTGTCGTTCCCAAACTGTTTGACTGCTCCCACTACTGTCACTAGTAATGTTATCATTATCTTCAATGAGACACAGGATATATTATAATAATTGTTAGTTTTCTAGTAACTGCTAGTATTTCATCAACAACAGCTGCTACTAGGACCGATCGTCAGGTAATTACATATTAATAAATGATCCAATCACTAATGTACATTATACACTTAATGTTATAAATAGGAACTACTGTATCATCATATTATTCATCTACTAGACTATACTAGCAATGATACTAATCAATCAACAGCTACAACAATGTATGCACTTGCATTTTTATAAAAGTAAAGGTAAGGATTCCTTATTAAATGCTCATAATTATTCAAACTTTATGACTGTATGATAAAACATTGCTAGTATAGCCTACATAATGATCAGTGAGTAAATAATTATAATTCTACCATGCCTACTTGCAATTGACCAATCAGATTGCGTCATACGAGGTAAATATAATCGCTTAATCCCAGTATTCCCAGGGGGTCTAATTTTGCCCTTTTTTACCGGCCCCCTTGAAGTTTACTGTCATGTGAAGTTACCATTATTCGTACATTAATTTTGTACATTATCAATGATATATAATGAATGGTCCATAGTAATATGTCATCTCCTCCAATGGAAGAGACACACAGTACATATATGGTATACATGTACTATAGTCAATAGTGTCTGCTGGAGTAGAGGAGGAGGTGTCTGTTATAAGGAGTGTATCTGTTAATAGTATCACATTGTACTAATAATAGTGATAATAGTATTTAATAATAATTGTTTTTAATAGTTGTTTGTCGTTCCCAAACTGTTTGACTTCTCCCACTACTGTCACTAGTAATGTTATCATATCTTCAATGAGACACAGGATATATTATAATAATTGTTAGTTTTATAGTAACTGCTGGTAGTTCATCAACAGCAGCTGCTACTAGGACCAATCATCAGATAATTATATATTATAAAATGATTTAGTCACTGATGTACATTATACACTTAATGTTATAAGTAGGAACTACTGGGTAATTTCGGAATCTCTCTCATTTCTCTTAGAAAAGATTCTATGCAACGTAAGTGCATGTACTGTATATGCATCAGGAAAACTTATAAAAATCACCTTTTAAATTTTGGAAAAATTTGGCCCGAGATCCAATTTTTGAGCAACTTTTAAAATTAATTTTAAAAGCAAATTTTGCTCGAAATTTTTACACAGCACAAGAATATGTAGAATTCTTTTCTAGACCCTGTAGTACAGGTATAATTCTATTTTCACTCCCTCTCTCTCTCTCTCACTATCTCTTCTTTTTCTATCACAGATTAGTTCAAATTATAGTCAGACTCTCCCCTGGTCAGGGGTTGGGTCTCAGTATCGTTGGTGGGCGTGGCTCTCCCACTGGGGACGTACCCATTTATGTAAAGAGGATCCTACCTGAGTCAGTGTTACAGAAAGACTCAAAGATAAAGACTGGAGATGAACTGGTAGCAGTTAATGATTTAATAATACATAATGTAACTAAGGACTATGCTACTGAAGCTCTTACTAATGTACAGGGAACAGTGAGACTACTACTGATACAGGACCTATGAATGATATGATATCTGGAGACTGTATTGAATGAATGAATGAATCTAATGATTGGTCTCTTTATCTCTTTCATTCTCTCAGTTAATGTATTTCTTCTTGTCTTGCGTTCTTTTTTCCTTGTTTTTATTTGTTTTAAGAATGGTTTGTTTTACTAAAAAATCATAATCTAGAGACTAATGAGATTCATGATCTCAGCCCACATGATTTATTAGTTTGATCATAAACCATTTATTGGTTTGATAACACTAACAGCTCTCTTGCTAACAGTCACAGCAAACTTAAGCAAAGACAAGTTTAAACATGGCAGCTCCTTTAAGAAAATCAATACTATTCCAGCCACATCCACTAGGTTAGTTACTGTATATTGAGCCTGCTATGCTCAATTTTATTCATCCATTTAGATACTCGTTATCTTATTGAGGTAGTTGATTTACTAAGGAGGCAAGGATATTCTGGTGTTGATTATTATGATCTTGGTATTAGTCTGGGTCTGTCGCCTGACACACTTGATGATATTAAGGAAAAGGACAAAGGAAATGCTCGTTTATGTCTAATAGAGTGCTTGAGGGCATGGTTGGAACAAAAAGATAATGTAAAGAGTAAAGGTGCCCCAACTTATGAGACATTAATACAAGCACTGAGGGAGATAGGTCAGAATGATGTAGCTGATGGGCTGGAAAGAAATTTTCAAGGTAAGGATTATGATTATCTATTTTATTGGGTATGACCACGGCAAACAAACTATGCTTACTCATTACATAGGTTTCTATACACCACTATTAGAATATGTAATAACTATTGGGCTGGGATGTGTTACTATAGGTATAAACTGTTCTCATGTACTCTCAGGCTTACTCATACATATACCCACAATAAGAATACAGCTCTTTGTACAGTTTTTCTTGCAAAAAATTATATAGGATGAATTCAAAAAAACTTTGCAACTTGTAAGCTAATACATGGCATTATTCTACATTTTAATATACCATAGCCACAATATTATTCTGACATTATAACTACTACTGATATCATAGTCACTCCCTCAGTAGCTAAAAATAGCCTACAACTGATAACCTTTTGGCTTAACTCAATAAATTTACTTATTTTTTACTTTCATCATTGCAGTACCACCTATTACTCCTAAACCTATTAGTACTGAAGACACTCCAGCTGCTGACAGGATACCAGACACTCAAAATCCACTCACAGAAAGTATGTATCATTATGGCTGGAAATATTTATAAAAACAATATTGGTTGGGGAGGCCAGGAGGCCATGGCGTCCCAATAAAATTCTTAATAATTGCTTTTAAAATCTATTTGATATTTAAAACTTCATTATATTATGCAAGCAACACTTGTGGGATTGCCCTTCCCTCCAATGTTTCATTCCTACATATAAAAAATTGTGCGAGATTTAAATCATATTCACAAAACCATGCCCATTAATTTACCCTTGTGTAAACACTATGCACATTATAGTCTCATGGTGTTACATTATTTAGGTAAAATAGATAAATGGCTGGAAGAAGGTAAAATTGTGCTAGAAATCACTCGTATCAATATGCATGGTGCACCTGGTGCTGGTAAAACATGTTCACTACACCTTCTACTTAATGAGCCACCACCATCTTCTACTGATAGTACACCAATAGCTTGTCCTGCTGTTCAAGCAACAAGAATATCCATTGGTAATAACAAGTGGGAGAGGGTTGAAGAAGAAGATTTACTTAACCAGCTTGCATCTGATTTAAAAGTAGCACCAAATGAAACGAAACATGAAAAAACATCTACAAAAATTAATGAAGCACAAATGTCATCTGATCATTCAGGTGAACCATCACTGGAAGAACCAACCGGCATGGAAGTAATTAAAGATATTTCAGATGCTCTTGAAAAAGGAAATGCTAAAAATTTAAGCACAAATTGGGTTTATTTTATTGATTCCGGTGGTCAACCAGCATATCGAGAGTTGCTACCTCTTTTTACAAGAGCAGCTGCACTGAATATTATCACCATTGATCTTACCAAAGGTCTTGATGACAAGTGTGAGTTTCAATATCGTATTAGTCAGCATATGTCTCCTATTAAAACAGACCTGAAATATTCAAATCGTGGTATAATCTAATCAACAATTAGCTCCGAAGCTATGTTTAATCCAATTGAAATTCCTTATGTCTCTAAGTCTGATATGCCCAAGCACTCGCATTATCTTATACTTGGTACACGTGTAGATGTACTAGGTGATGAGTCAGCAACTGAGAAAAAGTTAAGAGAAATGAATGAAAGTTTAATAGAGTGTAAAGCAAATAAAAAAGTCATTCCTCGTAATAAGCGTGAAATTATATTTCCAGTTAATACGTTGCTCCCTGCTGGGTCTAAGGAAAGGGAAGGAGCTAGTGAAAGTCTTTGTGATGCAGTTTCAAATTGCAAAGTTGCCATGGTGGCTAAGCTACCAGTTCGTTTATTCACTTTTGAGATTGCACTACAAAGGGAAGCTAAGAAGAAAAAACGGAGTTTCCTTACACGACATGAAGTGATTCAAATTGGTAAGTCTCTCCGACTTGATAAAGAATCAGAATCAGATATTGATGAAGCTGTGCGATATCTACATGATGTCACTATCATTCTTTATTATCATGAGGTTCTGCCAAATATAATATTTGTTGATCCTAAACCAATTCTTGACACCTTTTCACATCTAATAGCTATCACATACGTTGACCATGATAAATTAAATTTGATTGCCAATCCATCTCCTTCACCAGAGGAAAGACATAGTCTCATTAATTTTGGCCTTTTTAAAGAAAGTCTTTTAGCAATTATTGGCGAAAAAATTTTTAATGAAGATTTTCAACCATCTCACATGATTACTCTTTTATTGCATCTCCACATCATTGCTAAAGTGGAAAAAAGAGAAGACTATTTTTTCCCGTGTGCACTACCATCTCATGGCTTGCTCAATGACCCACCAACAGAAATACGGCCACTTCTCATAGCATGGGAGATTGACGAAACAACTCTAGCAATTCCTCAAGGATTATTTCCTTTAACCATTGTACACCTTTTAGAACAAAAGGATGTAGTAGACTTCTGTCCAGAGGGCAATGAATACTACAGATATCATGATGCCATGTCACTTCGTGTTTACAAAAAGTACACTATAGATATCATCAATCACTATACACATATTGAAATACGTTTTGATGGTTGCAAGGAATTTTGTCCTCAAATTCGTGAATTAGTCACAGAAGCCATTAAAAAAAGCAACGACGATCTCAAAGTTGGTAAA